AGCTAACGACAAAAACATTATTTAAATAAATCAATAATAATCATTTGTATGAACATCTGTGGGAGCTGCTGGGCGGTGTGCGCGTGTACCGTGCGCGTGGCCTCCTGCTCCTTCTGACCGTCAGTACCCTCGTGCAGCCACCTCGCGCCCTCCTTCTCCAGGCCCGGCCCATAGCACGCGCCACCTCCACCAGTCCAATCACATCGCAGTGGAACCCCCCCCCCCTTCCTCCAACAACACGGCGCGCGTGTCTTCCGGCTCCCAGTGCGCAGCAGCAGCAGCGGCGGCGGACAGACTGATGGATGGATTCAGTCACGGAGCTGCTTGAAGTCACGGAGGAGGACGGTCCGCTGCTCTGGAGGAGCTGAAACGTTCGCCGGTAAGTTCTCCGTGATTCTCACGCCGACAGACGGGATGCTGCAGCCGCGTCAAGTTACCCAACAAACACAGAGAGCGGTCAGGAAACAGACGCCTTCGTGCTGCTAAGGAGTAAAAACGTGAGGCTGTAATTAATTAATTAGTTAATGCAGGTACTAGTTGGCTAACTTAGTGCTGAGGGAGGACAATGAGATAATTGGCTGTGTAGCTGTAGAGAGAGTTGTGGTTCACCTCCACGGGGGGTCACACCGCCTCCGAACTCTGGACACCTGATGGACTCCATGCAGGGTCACGACAGGTGCTGGACAGGTGTTGGACAGGTGCTCCTCAACAGGAAGCCAACACAGACTCCTGGACACAGCAGCTACACCTGATTGGATGAACTCACTTCTGTGCCTTGATTTCAAACCAACATGGCAGCTCATTGAGACACTTTTGGTTTTATTACGAAAACAGGGCACCGAGCTGAGAAACAAGCTGCTGAATGTTTCGTTATTTCAGAACAACAGCTGTGAGTCGGCCCTAAAGCGGTCAAGTCTGTCTAGAGTTGTGCCACCCGGCAGCCATCTTGGCAACACCTCTGGGCAGGTGTGCTGGGTCAACAAGAACAGGCTGATAACTAACTGAGTGTAGAGAGCCGTAACTGTAATTTGAATTGTCATCGGATGTAAAAACTGCATGAATCTAATAAGAAATCTAACAAAAACTGCCTAAAAATGTTTGGTGACTTTGGCACAAAATAAGGGTTTAAATCATTTTAACTAACGGATTATAATTCTACCGCACAAGTTTCAGAACAGCAACACAACTGGATGGATTTTTCCTACTTTGAACGTTGTACAGGTGCATATATAGATGTATAGATGTGTCGCACAACAATCAGCTCTGATGTTATGGAGTCCTGATTTATCTTCTGCTGCCTTTTAACGTCTTTGGCTAAAGTTTGGCCACTTGTTAAACCTGCTCACAGAACACTTTGGATCTGAGTGTACCTCATGTAACTTACGTTTTATCGCTTAAGAACTTTGTCAACAAAACAGTTTTTTAATCAATTAAAGTTTGCATAAAAAGCTTCTCGTGTACCTCTGCCTGCATAAGCTAATGATGAGTGAATGACCAGAGAAGGACTATTTGACCTACAAAGCGACATAGTGCCACCCCTATAAAAACGTCTGCCCCTGCATGATTCATACATTTTTTTTTTGTTTAATGAAATCAGATAACTACCTCTCATGACCACTGCGTGCGGCAGATTGAGGTGTTTTATTTTGGAACCTGAAGCCGTCAGTTGTGGTTCCAGTGTTGTGAACTTGACGCCAGTTGGTTCTCCCAGATGTTGCAGCTGGAACATCTGTGGCTCACTGCTGACACAACAGGACTAATAATGTCGTCTAAATTACACAGTCTGTTACATGTCTTTGGTCTCCTGATTAATAAGATCAGGAATGACCCAGAGTTTTCATAACTTTCGTAAACACAAGCTCGTTTTTTCACATTCAGCTTCTGTAGTTTCTTATTTCAGATTATTTTCTTTTAAACCTAATTTGCCATAAACGCTATGACGCTTCCATGTTTTGTTTTTTAGTTCATCCAGTATATCTGTCCATATCAACAAGGCCATGAATAAATAACCTCTGCTGTTATGAAATGCAGACAGTACATTTTATAACAGCGTTTAATTTATTCAGAGGCTATGAACTGAAACTGTGTCACCTCACAACAATCCTCTCTCTTAACTTCAACAAGAGGCGAAGCAGCCCGTGGTTATCAAATGATGCAGGTCCGTTTCAGAGCTCCTGTACCTACGGACAGAGACGCCGTTGTCCTGCAGGGGATGGTCCGATGCGTTTAGAAAACACAGACACACACTGCTCCTCCCTGGAAGCCATGTTTCTGAGAGCGAGCGGCATACAAGTCCACGTTACTGCCATGTTACGAAACACATGATACAGTTAATATTTGTGATAACTCACAGGGGAAATTAGAGTTTTCTCATCCCAACATAGATACCCTCTCAATCAGATTTGATTTAGAGATTTATTTATTTTTTTAAACAATTTGCGATTCAGTTCAGCAGCTTTGAGAGAGCTTACAGCAGAGAAAGGGATAGATTGGTGGCCGGCGTGTCTGCCAACAGTTTATGTTGCCACACAAAAGCAGCGTAATGCTGCGGTCTGATCCACGTAATCCAGCCAATCGTGTTCTGTACTTTGGCTGTTCATGAAATCACACTTTAGACACTCGAGTTGTTTTGCAAGCTTTTGATTATGTCATTATTTCAGATAGGCAAATCTGTCCTGCATACACACACACACACACACACACACACAGTCTGACCCTCGGGAACAAGTCGTGTGTCGCTGCGTCGTTTCGCCACAATGGCCGTGTTGAAGTTTCTGCAAGACTTCAGCCTGGCTGCTTAGCTGAGGGGGTGTAAGCACGATGACGTCTGCACACAAAAGACCCCATTCACACCGTCTCTTGAGGAAGCAATGATTCCCTCACACACACATATAGGCTACACACACACACACACACACACACACACACACACGCCTGCTCACCCCACCACTACGTAGACCATGCCACAATATTACTCAATTAATCCAGTGAGTGAAAGCTGAATGCAAAGCGCATGCTAGTGGCATAAAGCGGACTATTGAGAAACCAGTAGTCTGCATATTGTGGCCGCTCATTTTAAAGATGGCAGATTAGGGTCAGCTTTGCTTATGCGTTTGCTGTGGTGCAATTTCGGGTCTCGACCTCGTGCAGAGACGGGAAGAAGTCGGGTTTGTTCACCAGGCCGTGTGTGGTTGGCTCCTTCAGAAAGCTTGTTTAAACCACTGTGTTGTTCTGGTGGATAAGTCACAGAGGTTGCAGATAATTAAGACGTATTCTGCTCACACAGATGCACTTTTATGGAAGTTTATTTACAGATGGCTCTCTGGACTTTGAAGCCTGGAGTTTTTTGTATTTGTGGCTGTTGCAATTTTGGTGTTTTGAATTTAAATGGGACCGTACTATTAATCCTACATTAAAAGAAACTTAGAACTTGCAACACAGATAATAAATTAATTAGTAAGATGTGCACTGAGGTCACACATCAAGTGAGACGTGGGGTCATTTTCTCATTGATTCTATATACAATCAGACTCAGAGGAGTCGCCCCCTGCTGGCTGTTAGAAAGAATGCAGGTTCAGGGCATTTCCACATTGGCTCGGAGGCTACAGCCATCTTTTATCTCCAGTCCATGTTTCTAGCTAGTGGCACCACACACCAGAGCACTAAACTGTTCAACAATTTTTACGCCCAAGTTATTGTTCAAGATGCAGCTACGCCAAGCATTTCTTCGGCTACAACTTTGTAAACATATTTGTTGGCTTTCTCAAACAAACTGAGGACATCACGTTGGGATTGGCATAATTTTCTGACATTGATGGATTTCAGTTTAACTTTATTGTCATTAAGCTAAAGTAATCCAACATGTCGTGTCTTGGGCTCAATCTGCTGAAATGTAAGTGAGCCCACGATGTCATACAGGAAGTAAAATACAAAACATCTTAAAGGGACACTCCACTAAATTCACACATGAGGTTTAATCTTCTCTTTAAACAGCATAGCGCCAAAGCGAGCTTCTTCAAGTTTGAAGGGACAACCTAAATGTAAAAGATGTGGCTGTTTACCAGTAAGGGACGTTATGGCTCTGCAATATGGTGAATGTAGGTTCCAGGATGTTTTTTATTCTCTCGCTAACAGCAGCACCAGATCATTAGCTTTCAACAAAGCGTTCACGTCCAGGCCTGAAAAACTGAAGCCAGTGCGATGTGCCAAAAACTCTTCTGGTCCCTGTTGCTCACTTTCCTGTTCATGACAGCAAGTCAGTTTTTATATAAATCACCTGTTTAAGTTGTATTAAAGCTTAAAGTTATGACATAATTAGGGGCGTGGTCACTTTACCTGACAGGTGGGTGGACAGTCCGTGGCTCAGCTTGGCCCACTTCAGTTCTACTCACACTCTACATCTTTGCTTATTCTTGGATTAATTGATAGTCAGGCACCTGCTTTTAGGACATCTGTGGTTGACGTCATGTGGTGTTCATCCACAGTCAACGTCCTCACCTAAAATTAAATTATTCTCCCTTTAAACATTTAATATAAAACATGTTAAAGCCTTAAGAGTCTGAAGACAAATCTAGTGCTTTGGTAGGAGAAAACTGAAGATGAGGGAGAAAGTCAGTGAGTTATTAGAGGAAAACATTTTAATACCATTGCTTAGTAACGCAGGTGTTTTTTATGATTGGCAGAAGAAAGTGGAAATTAAAACGGTGGGTGCTGCTCTTCCAGTGTAATACTTTCTGTTGACTGTCTCCTGTGAACATTAGTGGAAGAAGCTGAGGTCTGCCAGCAGCACCCTGCTCTGCTGAATCCTTCCCTCTGGTCTAATAGTGTGTTTACTCCTCTGTGGTCTCCGTTTCATTGACCTTCTTATTTAAAAAGTACAAGATACAGCGAAGCCAGCAAACAAACGCGGGGCGATAGCCGGCGCCGGGGTAAAACCTCTGCTCCGTGAGGGTGCAGCTCTGTCGCATCCTGTGATGAAGCAAGACATTCTGGCCGGGTAACACGACACCAGCGCCGTAGAGAAAGAAGTCCAGATCCCACAGGGAGCAGATGGCAGTCTGGGAGAACAGTGGTGGTAAAATCTTTGGTTTATTAATGAGTCTCAAAGGGACACTTGAGGGATGAGTGTCTACGTGAGGGAGGCGTGTTCGGCCCATGTGTGTGTGTCGGCGGCAGGTTTCGGAGGTGTAAGGGAACAATGTGGTGCTTTACAGGAGCAAGATGAGCCTCTCCCTCATATGAATAATGAATCAGCGCTGCTAAAATGGACTGTTGGGAGACGTCAGGGCGTGTACTGGTGCGTCCGCTCACACCGTTCTCACAGGAACAGAAGTGTCGATGTCCATTAGAGTTATTTCTCACAGTGGTGTCATCACACGGCGGTTTAAGAACCTTTTATAGCCCAGTGATGAGGTTCTCCTGTCAGCACTGAGACCAGCCTGCTCTGCTGTAAAAGTTGTGCTTCGTAACCATCCCCAACAACCACATATTATTATTAGTAGTATGTAGTTAATAACCTGAAGTTTCTGTGCTGTGACACTCCTCTGTGATCGCTATAGAGATGCACGATGCAGGTTTTTCTTCTCTACGTACATAATGATGTGATATTTGAGCTCAGGGTGTCTGGTAATATGGATTATCCATTTGACACGTTCCTCCTCTCTCACCACAGGGAACGCACATGAATCATTTTCATCTAAGGTTACATGAACTCAGAGGTTTCTGTGGCCACAAAAACTCAGCAGGCGGCCTGCTGTGACTGAATCAGTCTTACTGCTGCAGTGGAGCACTGGACCTGTAGTCAACACAGGGCATCTTGGTCGACTGAACTCACACCTACTCTTGACTTATTTGCAGAGAAAATAAGAATTGTACGTGGTCTCTAGATGAACTAAATGGGCCACAGCGCTCTTCCTGCAAGCCTTTATCACCTAAATGAATTGTAAATAAGCATAAAAAGTTAATATGTGCACCTGAACCCTAAGCTGCTGTTGTGAGCGGTACAAAACAAGCCGAGATGTCACGCAGTTCCCATCTAAGGCGAAAGAGGGAAACACGCAAGTCTTCCCAACAAGATCGAGAAGCCTCCGTACACATCTGTTCTTCATGCCAGAAAACACCGCCACGCCTGCATTGGCTGGTTTAGCCACGCCAAGACGTGTGCGAGTGACTGACCGTGGTGCATCCCATCATCTCGATAGACGCGAGGAGGCCGACAACGACGAATGGCAGACTTTGAGCAGATCAGTTGCACCGTCATGTCATCATGTGATTTCTGTAAATAGAACCATGTCGCCTGATTATTCCAGCACTAAAACCATTTAGGAATATATAACGCAAACAAGTTAGCTTACAGTGTTCAGATAAAATGCCACGTTGTTTGTAAAGCTAATGGATTAATCCTGGGAGGCTGGTGATGTGATGCTTTCCCCTTATTAAACTAACATGGGCCATTTTCCAACCAGTGAGAATTTGGTTGGATGAGACCATGTTGACACACCAGTCGACCTGGAGACTGAACTTTATGATAACACGACAAAGAAACTGTACCTAATGTGAATCAGGTGTCACGTCTGACAGCCAGGCCTCAAACCAAACTGGTCCATCCCTGAACCTCTGGGATGACAAACTGTGACCTGAGCTGACTTGTGTCACAGTTTTCAGAGTCCCAAATGGAAGTTTAGAAGGAGTTTAGTGGGTCGGTCAGCCCACAGTGCAGTCGAGAGAAACCAATCCAGTCCTACAGTATTAATAGAATCCAAATGCGATTAGAAATGAGCCAACACAAGATAGAATATAATGAACTCTATTGCTGAAAAAGGATTCGTGTCATTAGCTTTATCAAACTCTTGTGACATACTGTAGAGTTCAGGTTGTTGCTCCCTGATGCTGCACTCTTATATCCTGAATCCTGAGTACAAAGCCTCCATCCTCTTCTGACACCAACCAAAATGTTGCACAGATTATCAAGAACTGTTCACTGCTCAAAGCTGGTGTGCAGCATCTAGTCTGACCCATAATGTAATTTTCACACTTAACCTTTGTATTGTGTGCTGGCAGCATCGTGGTTGGAGGCGTTCTGCTGTCCGTCTCGTGTGAATGCAAGATCGCGGGAACATTTCTGGTCATAGTTTATATGCTTATTATGGAAAAATAAATTAACAAATCCACAAATGTCCAAAAGGATGAAATGATGAGTGATACAATTGGTCATTATTCAACATAAATCAGGACCAGAAGAGACGGATGTAGACCCACTGGTTGGCTAAATCATACATTTGTTCCATGGTAATTCTAGTTTTGGTGAAAATTACAGCCGAGCCACTTACAGCCGTCCTCAGATGTGTTCATAGCCTCCCATTAAAGAAGGAAACAAACAGCTGGAATAAGTTCAAATTGACAAAAGTAATAATGAATAAAAATTTAATGGAAATCATGACATTGCAATAATATTTTAAAAAAACAACAAAAAAACAAGCATGATGGGACCGTAAACTAATATCTAGCTGAACAACCCTCTGAGCCAATCACTGCCATCAGGTGTTTCCTGTAGCTCTCAGTCAGACTTCTGCACCTGTTGACAGGTATTCTGGACCACTGCTCGTCAACAAAGGGCTCTAATGTGTATGGGACAGATTTTTTTTTTTTTTTAATTATTCTTTTCAACCACAATTCAAAAGCAATGTCTTATTTCACTCAATTATAATTTAGCAAATTTTTTTTATTATTACTTTTTTTAGTTTCTAGTTATTTGAGTGACTGTTGTAAGTTTTGTCTTTTCTTTAACAGAAGGGGATGAATACATTAGAGGACAACTGTATGTTTAAAAAGCATTTTAACTTACTTGCTAAATTACAGGAAGTCTTTGACAGAAAAAAAAAAACGTGTTTTTGGGGGAACAAACATGAATTTTATTATCTGCCTTTTAAAGTGAGAGACTTGCACAAGTATAGTTTAAACAATACTCAGCTCCGTGTATTTATTCTTCCATAATCATGTTGACTAATTTACTTTAAATGCTGTAATTTGTGCATAGAGTACAGAGGGTTCGAGCTTCCAGGCAGCCTGATGAGATCACCTGAGCTGTGATCTCTGTTCAGAACTCTGGACAGCTCCTGAACTCGGCCAACACCTGCTGACTGTGTGTGTGTCAGCCTCCATCACCTCACCAGGAGGGAGTCTCACAATCATACCACAAGGTTTGGAAAGAATGCACGTATGCAGCACACACACTTTTCCTGTGTGTCCCTCAGAGCAAACCTTCTGAATCTTACATCATAGACTTTAATGGGTGCAGCCGGTGGTCACACACACACACACACACACACACACACACACTTGAGCTGCAGCTTGTTCAGTTGTCGTATCTCCTCCTGTCTAGAGGCTTGTACCCTGTCACACACACTCGCATACACTCCCCCAGAAACCTTTTATTCGCTCTGTCACGCTGAGTGTTGTTTACGTCTGTGAGGTCCAGCCTGCTTCCTTTTTGTTTCTTCACCTTCTCTTCTGTTTCCTTCTCTTTTTATTCCTCGCTGTTTCCTTCTCTTTTTATTCCTCCCTGTTTCCTTCCTCGTCGCTTTGACGCTAACGGTGGCTGACAGTGACTGATGTGCTGCGTTCGCTGGCGTGAGTGTTCTGAGCACTTGAGCTGCAGAGAAGGGAAGGAACGTTTGACACAGAGCTGGTGTGTCACAGCGTGTTCTGCCAATAACAAATAGTCTCTTCTGCTTTTTGCGGGTCCATGTGACTTGCTGATTTGTTTCGGTTTCAGGATGAGTTTAAAGCTCACAAACACGAGCATCATTTTGAAAGTAGGTTAAAAATATCAGTGTCTGTTTCTGCTCTAGTGCCAGGTTAACGTCATGTTTTCCCGTAGGTTTGCTGTGGCGCTGTGGGCATCCTGCTGCCAGGGGAAGGAGAGACCAGCTCTATAAAAGAAGAGAAAGCCACAGAGGAAAAGAGAAAGCGACAGCAGGAGCAGGACTTTCCCCCACACTCTCTCCTCTCTGCTCTCCACAGCTCACCGAGATGAAGCTGAAGGAGGACCTGAACCCGATGCTGCTGCTCCTCTTCCACCTCATGGTGTCCGTCTACACCGTCATCACCTTCCTGCCTTCCTACCTCCTCAGCTGGGTCTCCCAGCCCGATGGGGGCTTCTACGGCTCAGAGGAGGAGCGAGCCAAGAGGGCCAAGGCTCGCTCGCTCGAAGGGTGTCCTGAGGGACCGTACCGAGCGGTGAGCGCCACCAAGAGGCTGGTCACGTCGCTGCACCCTGGAGTGGACACCCTGGATAAGGTGTTTGAGTATGCAGCCACCAGGTTCCCCCACAGAGACTGCCTGGGCACGAGGGAGGTGATGAGTGAGGAGGACGAGCGACAGGGCAACGGGAAGGTGTTCAAGAAGGTAGAGAATGACGTAAAGCAGCAATGTAGAAAAGAAATGAAACTGGAACAAAAGTACAGAGGAAAAATGGGCACTGAGAACAATTTAAAAGCACTTGGAAGGACATTTTGGGAAGAAACTGAAACTCACAGTTAAGTTTAGCTTCATATAAAGACTGGAAACAGGTTGCTCTACATCCAGTGATGCTCGGTGTGTTGTGTCCTCCTATAACTCAGCAGAATACGTCAAATAAGCATAAATAAATCCAATTACAACCACAAAATATCAACCGAAAATATAACTAATTTGAAATATACAAAAAAAAAAGTGGTCAGTTTAAAGGTACAAACACATCTGCTGAGGAATGTGGGAATATCTGCCGAGCGAGGTGTACAGGAAGTCCAAATAGAAATGTTCCACCATGTGCAGAAATGTATAACCCTCTGAAATCTGAGCAGTTTCTGGGTGTTTTATGCTTCCGTCACATTTTTACTCACTGTGGACACGTTCGTCATGAAGTCCTGCACCCCGGCTAGAAGTTTAGAGAACTCCAGAAACTCTAAAAGGAAAAAACTACGTTGAATTCTTTGATTATTCATTTACAAACATTGGAAAAAGAAAACTCGAATCAACTTTGCCTGAACAGATGTTACTAGAAAGTTAAACTAGCTCTCCACACTACAGATATTTTACAACTTTTTATTATTATTATTATTATTATTTTTTTCCCATATTTTCTCCATGTAAACACAGCCTGGAGTTTGTCCAGTTCAGGACAATAGTCTCTGAATTTTTGTCATGAAACTGTTGCTCACGGCTTCCTGGTTGTGCCCAGCAGTTCTAGTTTTTAACTAAATCTGGATTTCTTTGTGAGTTTTTTAATAAGACAGCTGACGTTTGTTTGTTGACAGCACCACACATGATTAGTTTAAGAACTTCTGCTTTCACAGGTTCTGGCTGATAAATGGTGTTATTTAGCAGATTTTTTTTTCAAAGATAGCCTTTCAATCCTGCCGAGCGACGACCGTTTTTTCAGTGAGAATGATGGAGTGTAAAACTACACACAGAGCTGGATGGGCTCGGACTAGAATGAGGACGGATTGGCTGGATTATGGCAGCGATTTTTTTCAAAATGAGGCCCTTGAGCAGGCTCCAGAAATCCTCAGCAATGTAAGGAATGCTTTAATTAAAACGTTCTTTCATTCGCTTGTTATTGTGCTAATTAGTATGTACAGAATAAGAATGATTATTCTAATTACGAGCTTACCAACACTATCCCCCGATGCAGTGTATGCAGCGTAGATAAATCTAGATTAGCGCGAGTACAGGCCCTCACGTGCAGGTCATATAGTGGCTCTCAGGCCCAAACTAATTTATTCCTGCGTTTTTAGAAACAGCTCATAAACATAAACTCTTTCAGAAAGCAGCTGTAGTTTCTAATCGCAGTGGAATAAATAAGCACATTTATTGGTTTTCAGCTGCAGATTAGTTTCCTTAAGGAGCCTTTACAGTTCAGTGTATGTGGAAATAACTTAACATGGTGCAGTTTAATGAAGGAACGAGTGCAGCAATGGAACCCTATTCCACATTATCAGACTGTATAGAATAGCACCAGACTTATCACTTCATGTGGGTCTGCTGGGGATCTGTAACGCCTAAGATCCACTGGATTGTGATGAATGTTTTCACCGTTCATAATGTCATGTAAGGCGGTGTGAATGGAAAAGGGAAAAAAAGATGACATTCAGGATTGAACAATGGTGTCAGTCAATCTAAAGAAGCATCCCAAGGCGTTGAAAGAGGCCTCGTGAATAGAAAGAATAGGATGTGAACATGAATGGAGAAGTCAATCAAGGACAGGCGGCGATGAAAAAGTAAGGAGGGCTGCCCAGGTAGTTTGAATAGTTTTCCTGCACCAGACATGCGTCACATTGTGTGGCTGAAAAAAAGTGTTTAACTTCTGAGCGTACGACTTTTTAAAAACTGCAATAACTCAAAATGTTCCTCGGTGACTTTGTCTTGACCCGCCGTCTAGACGGACCTCTTGTAAATGTTTAAAATGTGCAAAATTCCTGTTAAATGATTTCTACTCCTTCAGCTGACAGCTTGTTAGTCCGTTAGATGCCCAGAGTTCCACTGACCTCACAAATGTTAAGAGAGGATGGAGAGGCAGCAGCAGAAGGACACAGGAGGAGAGACCAGTGTTTGTTATGAGGAGGAAATCCAGAATTTATTCAAACTGGAGTGCGAGTCTGAGTCAAATTCTGGCCTCGGCATGTTTAGCTTCACACTCGAACAATCTGCCAAACAGTTCGAACACTCTGAAAAAGTGTCATCTGGAGGTTCTGGAGCATGCACAGTGAGACGTTGGCAAGCTTTAATGTGCAGTTACACTACCTCTGAATTAGCCGCTAATCCCAGCAGCCTGATCCGTCTAATCCCGCTAAAGCTCTCTGTCGAAACACTTATTGCTACAAGAGTACGTAGCTTAGCCTTTCACAACAGTTAGTGATTACTGTCTGTGTGTGTGTGTGCACTGGCATTTATTAACCATTAGGAGTCGGTATAACCTCACTAATACTCGTGCAGGAAGAGATCTTTCATGAGTGCATCCAGAAGAAGCCTGTGTTTATCTTCTTCTCCTGCAGAGGATGACCGTGACGCGCTGCAGCAGAGGCAGCAGTTGTTAACTGTTGCTTCCAATCCTGTGCCTTTTTAATACGAAACACGCTGAGTAGCTGTGGCATAAATGCCCCCAAGCAAAACGCAATAAAACCGGAAACTCCAGTGGTTTCGTGGTTCATTTGTTTGGGGTAGTGTTTGCATAGTGAACATCAGCACTGCAGTTCTTTTAATAAACTTCCAAGACTCGCACCCATCCTTCCTTTAGTTTCCGTCTCATCATCATCATCATCATCTCTAGTTTCATTCCTGCTTTGCACATCACAAACTCTTCTTCCTCTTCTTTCCTCACCCTCCTGCAGGTAGTTCTGGGCGAGTACCGCTGGCTCTCCTACCAGGAGACCCTCACGGCGGCGACCCAGCTGGGCAGCGGTCTGGCGTCGCTGGGCCAGCGGCCAAAAACCAACATCGCCATCTTCTGTGAGACACGAGCGGAGTGGATAATAGCTGCTCAGGCCTGCTTCATGTACAACTTCCCACGTAAGTCCAGGGTGTCTGAGAGTGTTGACGCACACAGTGGGTACGACACTAACCTTCTGAAGTTTTATTGTTTTTGCTCCTTTCACATTTTTCTTCACTGTGGCCTCTTTTTTTTTTTAAATTGCGATATAAAGTTATGCACCTAAATGGAACCAGCATGACTAGAAGTAGAGAGAACTCAGAAATGTCTTCTATGCAGGATAACAAAGTCAGAATACCTTCAAGAAAAAGCAATAGTAGAATATTTTTTTGATTGTTTGTTTTATGAAAATTGGAAAAATCTCAAATCGACACGTATATCCAAGTTCCCTCAGGTGGCTCTATGTACTATAGATATTTTACTTTTATTTCTATCACCGCTCCAAACCACTTCAAGCGTTTTTCCTGCTGCACATCAACTCTAGAAAGATGTTTCACCGTGATGAATGTATCTGCCAACAACTGGCTCCTCTGAACACCGTTTCTGAGCCTTGCTATTCTATTGATTGAGTACATTTTATTTTAGTCTCACTAACTCGTGAGGGCAGCGTGCAGTTTGATCAAACAGTACTGATATTCGTCAGGTGTGGTTGCAACTCAGTCGTGCCGAAGGATGCAGAATTTTTTTTTTTACAGGACTTGTCTTATATTGAAGAAAATAAGACAAGTTAAATAGAAGGATTTTGATTTGAATGTCACCATTTAGAGCTCAGATTTGGTTCGTGTTGCCGACAGAATGGCACGTCACACGCGATTAGTTCAAGAACTGTCGGGAAGTTGACAATCTGACAGATCTTTCCCTTTTCACATTTACTTGCTCTGATCATTTCTTGTAAATAAAAAACAGATGAGTGTGTTTTGGGGTTCAGAATGTTAATAAGGAGGATTACAAGGAATGTTAACACCTCATGAGACGCACTTAATATTCTAAATTACTTTTTTCTTCATTTTTTTTTTCCAAACACTGAAGTAAAAGTGAATCGTGCTGCGTTACACACCAGCTAGAAGCATCAGTCTCTCTGCATTTCTGACATATCTTTAGTTGTCACTCCTCCGCTTTGCAGATATTTATTGGACACGTTTTGGATCCCTTTCCCCCTTTACATGACGAGTTTTATTTTTGTCAGTGCAGCTTGTGCTCCGATTTAGTCTCTTTTTTCACATGGAAGTGCTGATTTTAAGTTTTGACACGTGACGAACATCGTTCACTGACACTCAGCCGAATGTGAACCACCTTTGTGGCAGTATGCTGGTGTCCAGGGTGTCAGTTCTTCTTTACAAGGTCTTTGCATCACTTACTGTACCTTGTGTAATACTTTGCACACATGTTTTGGTTACCACAGAAACACACACACACACAGACACATAACTTTTGCTTTCTCTACTGGAGATGTTAGTTAAACATTCTAACAGTGTAAAAACGTATTTTTGGAAAATGACGGGTGCCTGCAGTGGATCAGACGGATGCAAACGGCGGTTATTTTTTACGGAGCTGTTCTAGTGTGCTGTCGGTTTAGGTCATACTGTACACTGCAGCTCTGTCGTCTCCGTCCTCTTCTGTTTGGTCTTTCCCACTGAGCGGCTTCCAAATGTGTCTGCGGCTGATTTATGGCCATTTTTCTGTGTGCATGCATGTGTGTGTGTGTGTGTGTGTGTGTGTGCGTCTGTGGCTGCAGTGAACAACTTGTATCAGGCCCAGCTGAGACAGAAGAAGGTCAATTTGTCCCTTCTGCTCTTACATAAGTGTCCTATTTAGCCTGTTTCGCGCTTTCTCTTCCCCGTCCATTCCTCAGTGTTTCTGTGATGAAGATGCACGTAAACGCCGACAGGATTGTCTCAGCGTCGCTGCTTGCACTCTAAACAAACGAGGATTTCTGAGTTTCTTCAGGTGAAGTGAATCATTTAACATTAGGATTAGGTTACAGAGTGTCTGTAAACTTTACAGATGAGGACATTAAAAAACAACTACTTGTTCTATCTTTGTGTAAAAATAACTTTTCCATTCAGAGCAAAGCTGTCCATGGAGAGCGGTGCATCAGCAGCCTTCTGCCCCGAGGTGTTCTCCTCTGATTTACTGTTTAATATGTTCTCTAGCAAAGAGCGTAGTACCGCTTTATTTATCACAAGTATCCACAGCATTCATTAAATCTTTTCGATTGCACATGAAGGACTCTTCTTTTTGTCGGTGCGCTTGAGTTCAGGCTCCATTAAACTGTCACACTTTTAAAATACGCCGCCAGTACTGAGCCAAGAGAGCATCTTTGCAGAGCATCTTTCTCCGCTGCAAACACAAACACAGCGACAGTGGAAAAGCCAGGGGCAGTGCGTAGTGTGGGTGGTGGAGAGGAGTAAAAGGTTGGAAAGAGCAGCGGAGGACGAAACGGAGGGGAGGAAAGAGAATGAGACAAGCGAGCGGCGATGGCGTCAGAAGAAGGGGTGAGAGAGTCTACGTGAGCATCTGATGTTGACAGAGGCATGAAGGAGTCAGCCAAAGGCCCCCAGTGAACTCAAACACTCGCTGTGCGTCTCTGTGTGTGTACATTGTACGTCTGCTGTGCATTGACTCTATCGCACTCGTCTTTCATGAGCGCTTGCCTCCGTACACGGGTTTCATAAAGGGTCTGTAACAAGCAACCATTTCAGTGTCAAGGAAAACTGATTCCTGAGATTCTTTCAAGGACCGATTTGTTAAACTGAAAAATGCAGAATGACGAAGTTACCACAAGGTTAAGTGTCTCACAGATTCTTTGTCTGAACGTTTGCTGAGTTT